TGGAAGTTTGCTGGATGATCTTGGGCCAGTCATTCTCTCCCACCTAATCTACCTCACCGGAGGGGGGAGGGTGTTGTGAGGACAAAATGTGGTAGGCTGTTTTGGGTCCCTACTGAGGAGATCAAATCAAGCCTGAATTCTCCCTAGAAGTTAAAATGAGGCTATTGTACTTTGGTCACATTATGGGAAACAAGAGTCACTGGAAAAGACAATAATGTTAGGAAAAGTTGAAGGCAGCAGGAAACAGGAAGACCCAACATGAGATGGATGGACTCAAACAAGGAAGCCACGACCCTCAGTCTGCAAGACCTGAGTAAGGTTGTTAACGATAGAATGTTTGGGAGGACATTAATTTATAGGGTTGCCAAAAGTCTGAGGTGATTTGACAGCAAATGAAACACACACACACAGAGGAGAAAAGTGGAGTACAAATATCTAAATAAATAATAAAATGACCTACATTTGCAGCTGAGGATTTATCAATAATAAAATGACCTATATTTGCAGCTGAGGATTAATCAAATAGGGGGAAGGAATATTTCCCTAGGGTTGCCACCTCTGGGCAGGGAAATTCCTAGAGATTTGGGGGGTGAAGCCTGAGGAGGGTGAGGTTTACAGAGAAGAGGGACCTTAGGAGGATATAAAGCCACAAAGTCCACACTCCAAAGCTGACACTTTCTCCATTGGAAAGTATCTCTGTTGACTGGAGATTAGTTGTAATTCTGGGGGATCTCCAGGCCCCACCTGGAGGCTGACAGCCCTACCCTATGTTGTTTTCCTCCCTCAGGCACAGCTGCCCATGCACAGGGCATGTGCTGCCCCAGCCAGCGTTTAACTGTAGTTAAGAGCAGCGGTCCCTGGGAATAGAAGTCTAGTTAGGCATCCCACAACATCCCTGCGACTGGCTGATTAACAGTCATTTCCGGCACAAAGAGGCGCGAGGATTCGAGTTTACAGCTCTCTTCCCGTGGCCTTTGTTCTCTTTAAACGGCAAGGAGGTGGGAATGCGCAATCCTTTTCACAATGAGCCAGTGAACGGAATTAGATTACAAAAGATGTGAACTTCACCAGTTATTCAGCCTGATTGACTGTAAGTAAGGACATCTTCTGAATGCATATGGAGTTTAATAAAAAACGATTTAATTCTACTTGCTCTGGCCGTGTGTTGTATCACGTCTAGAAGGCGCTGTTGACTTCTGACTTAGCGCTAGACGGAACAGGGCATGAGTATAGTCCAAGCAAATAAGGAAGCAGGATTACATCGGCCTTCATATTCAGCTAGTGTAGGCCAGCAACATTACGTAGGGACCTGATAGGTACCACGAATGGTCGAACAGTCAGACATCATCCCCAAGATCAGCATCCCTGCCCTCACCCCACGGATGTCTCTGGTAGGCATTTTGTTGTGGAAAAGGACATAAGGTTTATTTTTTTAAAAAAAACACAATTCTCTGCCTGCCGTGTTGTTAATGATTGCGTTGTCGCTTTATACCCTTCAGCAACTCTCAAGAATGTTCTGAGTCTCCTGTCCTACTTCTCTTTAAAAACCTCTGTAGAAACAAAGGTTAACGCAAAGATTCAGCGTGACACGGATGCTTCTTAATGTCCGACCGGGACTGAGCTATGTGGCAAACAACCACTAAACATTAACCGAAGGATTTAGAAAGAGGATTTCTTTATGGGGATGGGCCAATTTGTATGTGCTGAACAAACAGAGAAGGAGAAATGTCTCGCAAAAGAAAGAGCTAAAGAGTCAGAAGCGTTTCTCAAAGTCTGTATCAAGCCAAAGAAGGGGAGACAAATTTGACAGAACAAAGCTCTGATGGTGATGAGAAAAGGACAGGTCCTTCAGAAGAGCACTCGCATAAAGACATTCTGCAAATAAACCAGAGCTTGCAGTGGGAAATGCAGGCACTCCCCATAGCAGGGAAGCTATTGTGGGGCAAAGCGGTCCATGATGTACACATCATAGCTTGTCTTTACCAGCTGAACAAAGTTTGAGTCCAGTGGCACCTTTAAGAACAACAATGTTTTATTCAAGGTGAGCTTTTGCGGTCGTGCACACTTCTTCAAGCACAAAGAAGTGTGTGTGCACATGAAAGCTCACCTCGAATGGTCTTAAAGCTCACTTTGATGGCCTTAAAGGTGCCACTGGACTCAAACTTTGTTCTGCTGCTTCAGATCAACACAGCTGCCCACTAGAGTCTGTCTCCACCAGCCCCATTCATGGCCTGTATGTGCACAATATTAGCTCCGGTGCTCAGCCATTCCCATGAGCAAAGTCCTGGAACAACGTAAGATCCCCTGCTGCATTGGACCAGAAGTCCACTGAGCACAGCACTGGGGAGGGTGTGGGGGTTCAGTGGTATGCAAAAAGTCCCTGGTTCAACCTCCAGCATCTCCAGTTAAAAGGATCAAGTAGTGGGTGATGTGAGAGACCTCTGCCTAACATCCCTGGAGAGCAGCTTCACAGTCTGAGTAGACAATACTGACCTAGACGGACCAATGGTCTCATTCGGTATAAGGCAGGCTCATATATTCATAAACCCTCTTCCCCACAGAGGCCTGCCATATGCCCTCAGGAAGTCTGCAAACAGGGCACCAAGGCAAGAGTCTTCCTTCATGGTTTGTTGCCTCGAGAACTGCCTGCCCCTCCTGTTGGCTCTAACCCTAACTCCACTAAGGGTCAAAGCAGAAGGCACCAGTAGATCCACGAATGGATCTTCCCAGCATCTTTGTAAACCCACTTACAGTGACATGGACTCTGATTTAGATGGGAGCTGATGGGGGAGGGGAGGAATGGTTTAAGCCTTTCACGCCTTCATGTGGTTTCACAGATCGAAACCATCACTCCCCACCCCCTGCTTTAAAGAAGAAAGGACAGGATAAATATGGGAATCTGTATTTTTTCGTATAGTGTTCATAATGTCATGTGACATGTGCCAGGTTTTGATCTGAATAGCCATGTGAGGGCACACTCTACCCTCCCTACATGGCCTTGATGCAAACCAGAGCTGTCAGAATTCTTTCAAACAGAGACCTGTGCAGCTATCTGGCACATCCAAGCTGGACCCTTAGTGTATGTGGGTAAAGTGCCATCAAGTCACAGCCAATTTACGGCTAGTCTGGGCTGTCCAGGTCAGGGCACCTTAGACACCATCATTGATCCCTATATCAAATAGCCAAAGGATGCCCACAGCGGGGACAGATGAATCCAGACTACACAGCCAGCCAGGGATCCAATTTAGAGTTGTGCAAATCCAAAACCACCCCCAGGTTCACTTCTTCTTGGAAAAAAAAAACTATTTGGGGGTAACCCTCCCCCAGTTAACAGTGATGCCTGTTCACATATAGAAGAAGAAGAAGAAGAAGAAGAGATTGGCTTTATACCCCGCCCTTCACTTGGAGTCTCAGCGCGGCTTACAAACTCCTTTCCCTATCCCTCCCCACAACAGACACCCTGTGAGGTGGGTGGGGCTGAGAGAGCTCTGACACAAAGTGCTCTTTTTCAAGGACAGCTGTGGCAGAGTTATGGCTTGCCCAAGGCCATCCAGCCAGGTGCAAGTGGAGGAGTGGGGAATCAAACCCGGTTCTCCCAGATTAGAGTCCACACACTTAACCACGACACCAAAGTTATAAGAAAGAAAGAAAGAAAAAACCCTTCCATGGATCGGACAGTATTTCAGGTTGGCATAGCAACTCAGCGATGATCAGAATAAAGTGAGGAAGGAAGAGCTGCAGGGGAGGCCAACTAGAGCAGGGAGGGGGAGGGAAACAGCCAGCAGCACAGGGGAGGAGAATCAGAAATAGTGGTGGGAAGGAGGGAAGGAGGGAAAGAAGGAAGCTGGAGCCAGTAGCAAGAGGGAAAGGGAAGAAGGATTTCTGCTTCCTTGTGAGTCTTCATGGATCCCCCCCATTGTATCTACAAGTATGGTCTCTTTATCCTGACCTGGATTGATATTGACTCAGTCAACAGAAGGGAAGAGATTAACACAGTGTGCATTATCTTCTCCCATGTGCTCCCACATTGGATGAAAAATTAGCCCCCTGCCAAATTTGTGCTGTGCATGAGCTTCTCCTGGGGGCTGCATCAGGACTGACAGGTGAGGCTCTGCTTACCCGGCTGCCAATGAGGTTGGGTGCCTTCACAGATCCTGTATTTGCCCTTCAGACACTGTTGTCAAGGGCAGGATTTTGGTGCTTTGAAGCCAACAGGACTTTCATCCTGAGCCTATTTATCTTAACCTCATAATAAACTGAGTAAAGTGAAGCTTACTGTCTTGTAAGCATGCACAGGATTGTAGCCTTCCACATTTGAATGTGCTTTTGCTAGTCCAATCCCATGCAGAATTAGTACAGTCTATGCCAGGAGTCTCCAACATTTTTGAGCCTGGGAGCAGCTTTGAAATCCTGACACAGTGTGGCGGGCATGGCTGCAAAATGGCTGCCACATAATGGCCCCTGCAGGAGTAAAGCCACCCACAAAATGGCTGCCACAGCTTTCCTCCAGTCACACAGTGATGATCCTTGTGCTGTGGTGGCAGCTGCTGGCAAAGCAACATTTAAAAAAATCTGCATAGCCAATCGTATCTTCAAAGGCCAATCAGAATCCTTGCTGAGCAAAAGCTCCACTTGGCCCCACCCACTTTCTAAAGCACTTGGTGGGCTCTAGAAAAGGTGTTGACAGGTGACATGGCGCCCACGGGCACCACACTGGGGACTCCTGGTCTATGCCCATGTGCTGAAAGTTCCATTTGCTGCAATAGTCCTTCTATGAACCTAATTTGCTCAAGAGTATGCCCTTGCTATTATGGTTTTGCCAAAGAATTGGGCAAGTGGAAATGAGTAGCAATGAGATAACTATGTGCAACTGGGGTATCGCAAAATGCTTGGAAAAGTCTTACAACTGGAATGAGGAATGCACATTTTCTCTGAAAAATCACAATATACTCTCAGATGAAAACTGAAGTGAGAACCAAAGAATTGGAAAAGAAGCTCACCTGATCATCCAGCGGAAGCTCGCAGAAGGCTGGGATGTACTTGGCCCACTCCACCAGCACTAACAACTGCTGCTTCATGGACTCACAGACGTCCGCAATATTGGCAATCTTTTTCCCTCTGATATCTCCACTAATCATAGAAATCGGTGACGACATCTGCAACAGGGGAAGAAGCACTTTGTATGACATCTCTTAGCACTCCTAAAGGTGCCAGGAAACAGATGTTATCCTGTTCCCCAGTTGTGGTTCTGATCTCTGCATTCCCACCTGATGTGCATCAATCCTGGGTAAAGGTGATGCAAATAAAATCTGGCCTGCTAAGGATAATGACAGGGATTGGAGGAAAGACAAAGCAACCTCACGGGGGCGGGGGGGGGGGGGGGGGGGCTGGAAGAGACCTCTGGAAATAGCCACAGGGGGTATTGCTTTGCTAGAAATCAGCATGCAGAGATAACAAGATCATATTGTAAGCTGCCTTAAACCACAAGCAAATTAATTAATTAATAAATAATCAAGGACTTCCAGTCATTGCATCATTGTGCCTTTTGCCATAAAACATTCTTCCCAATCACCATTAGAATGTCTTTGGTTTTACTTTTGCACAAGAGATATATAGACTTGAAGTAGGCTTTGCAACTGCCGTTATGCCGCCATTGGAGGTGTTTAAGTGGATGCTGGATGATTATTTAATGTTCTGGTTTTTTAAAAAAATGTAATCTATTTAATGTATTTTTAAAATATTGTAAACTGCTCTGGGTTCCATATGGAATAAAGGTAGCAAATAAATATTTTAAATAAATAAATAAATGAAAATAGTCAGGTATGTTTTAGGTCATGCTCCATGGCATAGGGGGTTGTACTAGATTGTTTTTAGGCCTCTTCCAACTTTTTAATTCTATTCTATACACTCAACTTGTTGGAAATCCAGGTCTTCCTCAGTAGTCAGTCTTCATCTCTGTGTGATCCTACTAGCCAGTTCACTGCTCTTCTCCTTCTTTCTTCCTTTTTTTATTGTAACATTTTTGTTCTGGTCCTCCCAGCACTTTATCCCTAGATCTCAACTTATTTTTTTTACTAAGCAAGGAAATGTGGCCACCTGTGATGGCTTCTCCCCCCTCCCCCTGAGCCAACAGGTTTTATTTGCTGAAATCTTGCCAAATCCAAAATTATAACTAAATAAATAACATTGTAAAAACACACACACCTTGCTGCGCTGTATCTTAACGGAGGAACCCGGAAGGATTAGCACATAAATACTGATCTCTAGGTGACTGACCCTGGATCACAGAGAAATTCTTCAGTTGGATCTGCCCTTAGTATATGGGTCTAGAACAGCCTTTACAGGTTTCTGCACTAGCTCATTTCTCCAAAGTGAGCATCATTCTTTGGCTCAGAAATTGCTTTATAATTTAATTTAAAAGAAGGAAGGCATGGTATGATTTGAGTTCAGGTGAAGTTAGTAACCACAGAAGAGGGAAGTGCCAGCTGCCAGGACAAAATCTTTCCAGGAAATGGTTAATTAGGCACTAACAGAGATACTTCTGCTAATTGTTTTGTTAGATCTGTTGGTGGCATCAACACCATGGATTATGCCATCCTATTGCACTACCTGGAGGGTGGATATTAGAGGATCAGTTTTGCACTGGTTCCAGTCTCCTTGTGTGTAGTTAAGGGAGATGTGGAGTTGACTCCTGGTGTGCCCCAGGATTCTTTTCTCTTCCTCATGTTGTTTAATATTTATGTGAGACCACTTAATTAAATAATCCATTGTTTTGGAGTTGGGTATCTTAGGACATCATATATATGTCCTTGATGAAGCCTACAGAAGCTTTTGTTTCAGTTCTCTCGTGCTGCCTGGAAGCTGTGGCTGAAGGAGAGCAAACTAAAACTGAGTTCAGATAGGACAGAACTGACATTCTGAATGGTTAACATAACTCTCTTTGGACAGGGCAATGTTGGTTTTGGCAATTAAGAGCCATGGTGTATTCCTGGAACCAGCTCTGCAGATGGAGAAGCAGGTAGGCACTGCTGCTAGAGGTGCCTTTTTCACTTACATCTGGCTCAGAAATTGCACCCTTTCTTAGATATAGCCAATCTGGCCACACTGATCTCATGCTAACCTCAAACCTGGATTACCATAATGTGCATTAGGTAGGGTTGCCCTTGGAGACAACTTGGAAACTTCAATTAGTGCAAAGTTCAGTAGCCTGGCTGCTGATTGAGATGAGTAAGAACAACCATGTTCCTGAGACTCATGAAATCTGCACTGGTTGCCAGCATGTTTCTCGATTCAGTTCCAAGCGCTGGTTTAAACCTTTAAAATCCTTAACAGCCCAGGACCTATATACTTACTGGCAGGGCTTTTTTTGTAGAAAAAGCCCAGCAGGAACTCATTAGCACAATAGGCCATACCCAACAGCGGGAACTCATTAGCATATTAGATCACACCCCTGACATCACTGCTCATTTGCATATTAGGCCCCCCCCCATGTTACCAGAAGTGTGGTCATCCAGCCACACCCACCTTTTGCTTCTTATTCTCTTTACCTTGTTTGTTGTCAAAACCCAGGGCTTTTTGCATGTTAGGCCACACACCCCTAATTGTAGCCAATCCGAATGAGTTTCTGCTGTTGGGTGTGGCCTATTATGATAATGAGTTCCTGCTGGGCGTGGCCAACTTGGGAGCCAGACAGAACTCCGTTCCTGTGCGTTCCTGCCCAAAAATAGCCCTGCTTACTGGACCACCTCTTCCACTATGAGACTGGAAAGGCAACTCTAATCCTTGCAGTAGATTATTGTCTGCTATTGATAAGAGAAGTCAAAACTTATCATCCTAAGCATGGGCTTTTTCTGAGGCAGTTTCGGTGTTGTGGAATGGGCTGCCCAACCAATAACCGTCTACCATTATTTAGGTGAAAATATAAAATAGAGCTTTGATATGGACTTTTGGGTGATTCAGTTTCTGGTTATTCATTGATTTCACTCATCCCCTGTCTTTTTCACTAAAACTCAGTGGATGTTAAAATATATTTTAAAAAACCCAATTCACTCAGACAGCATAAGGCATCCAGAAAACAATGCAACAGGACCAGGATGACAGAATTAGAAAACAATGCAAACAGAAAATGGTCTAAGGCAAGACATACCTCTAAGCAGATTACAGACTAGATTACAAAGGCAGAAGACAGTGCAGTAAAAGATGATGCATGCAATAAATATTGCAGTAGATTATAATCCTATTCCTTTATAAAATCACACCATTTATAAACGGCTGCACAGAATCACAGTTATAATTCTGTTTCCTCCTGAGTAGTAATGGCTCAGCAGCACTCCTGGATCCTAGTATGGAGAAGACCCAGGTAACTTTTAAAAAATTCTGAATACTGTATTTTATACCTGGGGAAATGCCGACAGCATCTCCATTGCTGTTATGACTGTGTTGTGGAATATGATAGCCCAGGTATTATAGGGACCAGCCCACTGAGCGCCTTATATTGAATCAGACCATTGGTTCATAAGGTCAGTATGGTCTACTCAGACTGGCAGCAGCTCTCCAGGGTCTCAGGTGGAAGTCTTTCACATCACCTATGGCCTGGTCCTTTGAACTTGAGATGCTGGGTATTGAACCTGGTGTTAGATCGCCGCTAACAAAGATCCGGAGAATGATTTCAGCAAAAGTGAACAGCTTTATTGTAGGTACGAACAAGCGCTTGAAAGAAGTCATAACCAGAACAACTTAACATTGGGAGCTAGGCTCCTTTTAAACATTCCCGGACTAACGTAGCCACGCCTATTTACAATAAACAACCAATGAGGTTGTGTGGATAACGTCCAATGAAAGTCCTTCCCTCGCAGGGAATTGGTACAGTTCTGATTGGTCGCTGTTGTAGAGCGACCAATAGCAAGTTGGCTCGGAGGAGCCTTCCTCTGGCTCTAGCTTAACATGGAGAGCTAATGCGGCGATTCAAGTAAGCCTTTTTGAATACACCACACCTGAGACCTTCGGTATGCAAAGCACAGGCTCTTCCACTGAGTCACAGACCCTGTTGGATATACCCTGTGCTGTCATCAGTGACAAGACATAGATCCAGTCAAATGGAAAGCTGCTTTTCTAGATACTAAGAAATAGAGAAGGACTTGTGAAATTAGCTTTCAGTTTGCAGATATCTACTGAAAAGAGGGTGGGATAGAAAGAAAGCATTAAGATGCAAATTCTGTGATGCAGATTCTTTCACAAGTTGGGAAAAGTACCTGCTGTGAAAGGACTTCTGCTTGCAGTAAAACGTTAATGGAAGGCAAGCTGCTGTCTTCATAGCTGGATCGACGAGTACTGATTCGATCACGTTCATTCTGTACAGCTACAATAAACAAAATGAAAACATAAAATCCTTTTAGACGACTCTTTTTTAAAAACTCAACAAATATGTCTTTGGCATTTAAAGAATAAGAGTTTTAAAATTTATATCAGTTTTCTAATTGATCGGTAGCCACACACAAAACTCGAATCTAAAATTACATTTTATCTTCGCTGAATTTTATCTGTCACCTGTAAACATGTTCCATTCAAAGCACACTTTTTCACTCACCATTTCCTCCCCATCTCGGTAAACATTTTAACTTCTCTTCCTGGTATGGAAGAGTGGATAGAAAACCTTTGTTTCAGCAATGCAGATTCCTTCATTTTCCTCCTCTGCTCTCCAGAGGAAAACCTTTTTTTGTCAAGTTCCTTCCTCCCTGATTTGGTGAAAGTCCTGATACTTTTGAAGTCACTTGGGGAAAACCTTACTCATTCATGCTGTTTCCCTGCTGCAATTGCTGCTGCTGTACTAAGGAGAGAGGGGGGAATGTTAGGCGTGTGTGTCTTCCTACAGAAGGGCATATATGTGCACTGCTGGTACACAGTAATATTCTAATTAAAAAAAAGAAATCAGTGGAACTGACAAGGTTTTACCCAGGACTTGTCTGTTTCGTTGGAGAGCAGAGGAGGTGGTAGAAAAAGCAGCAGTAAGGTACCTGTGTAAGGGCATCAGTCTAATCAGAAGTAAGACCAACATCCAGGAGAAGCAGGTGGTAAAATGTCTTCTCTTGCACTGTGGTGGAAAGTGCTGTCAAGTTGCAGCTGACTTATGGTGACCAATGCTCCCTCTAAGCTGTGCAGTCTTGTGAGCAAAAATTCTACTTTGTGAGCGAATGGCATTAAAGTTGCAAGTGAGCGATTTGGCTGCTGCATAAATTAGTTTGCCCTGGAGCCATCCTCCCTGAGCTGAGACAAAAATGTGTGAGCCGGAGGCTAAAAAGCTGTGAGCTGGCTCACACTAACTCAGCTTAGAGGGAACACTGATGGTGACCCCGTAAGGTTTTCAAGGCAAGAGATGTTCAGAGGTGGATTGCTGTTGCCTGACTCCGCATAGTAAACCTGGTATTCCTTGGTGGTCTCCCATCCAAAGACTAACCAGAGATCACCTGGCTTAGCTTCCGAGCTCTGAACTGGGCCAGCCTGGGTCATCCAGGTCAAGGCTGGCTGGTGTCATCTAAAGAAGAAAAGGCATAACCTCTGGAATTTCAACCCAGGAAACTGTGTAAGAATGCCACCTCTGACGCGGTTGTAGCAGCCAAAATGCAACAAAGTTTGTGAGAAAAATCCTAAAGAAGGCTGCTCAGAATCCACCTCCAGTCAATTCAACTCTCATCAAAGTGTTCTTAGCATTGCATTAAAAACATAAGAACATAAGGAGAGCCCTGCTGGGTCACACCAGTGGTCCATCCAGGCCAGCATCCTGACTCACAGTTTCTCTGGGGGGCCAATAACAGGGTATAGAGCCCGAGACATTGCCCTGATGTGGCCTCCTGGCACTGAGATTCAGAGGTTGACTGCCTCTGAACGTGGAAGTTCCCCTCAGTCACCTTGGCTAGTAGACGCTGATAGACCTATCTTCCATGAAACTTCTAAACTCCTTTTAAAGCTGTTTATTCCTGTGGCCATCACTACATCCTCTGGCAGCAAATTCCACATTTTATTCACTCTCTGTGTAAAGAAGTTTTTCGTTTTGTCCATCCTGAATCTACAGCCCATCAGCATCATTGAGTGCTCTCGAGTTCTAGTATTTGGGGAAAGCAAGAGGAAATTCTCTTTGTCAACTGTCTCCACCCCATGCATAATTTTATAAACTTCTATCGTGTCCCCCCATTAGTTATCTCTTTTCTAAACTGAAAAGTCCCAGTCTCTTCAGTCTTTCCTCATATTGTATTGTAAGAACATAAGAACATAAGAGATGCCAATGTTGGATCAGGCCAAAGGCCCATCCAGTCCAACACTCTGTGTCACACAGTGGCCAGAAATACCAGGTGCCATCAGGAGGTCCATTTATCCCATGATTTTTGAGCTTACTTAGGAGCCTTTGATGAGGAACTTTATCAAAAGCTTTCTGGAAGTCAAGGTAAATAATATCTATTGGATCCCCCTTGTCCACATGTTTGTTCACCCCCTCAAAGAACATTAACAGGTTAGTGAGACAAGATCTTCCCTTACAGAACCCATGTTGAGTCTGCCTCAATAGGTTTTGTTCATCTATGTGCCTACTAATTCTTTCCTTAATAATGGTTTCCACCAATTTACCCGGTATCGACGTCAGACTGACTGGCCTGTAATTTCCCGGATCTCCTCTGGAACCCTTTTTAAAGATGGGAGTGACATTAGCTACCTTCCAGTCCTCAGGAATGGAGGCTGATTTTAAGGAGAGATTACATATTTTTGTCAGGAGATCCACAAGTTCACAATTGAGTTCTTTCAGAACTCTTGGATGTATGCCATCTGGGCCTGGTGATTTATCAGTTTTTAAGTTGTTTATCAGTTTTAGGACCTCCTCTCTCGTCACCTCAATCTGACTCAGGTCTTTCAACACCCCTCCTGAAATCAGTGGTTCTGGAGTGGGCAAGCACTTCTCATCTTCCACAGTGAAGACGGAGGCAAAAAATGCATTTAGCTTCTCAGCCATTTCCCTATCATCCTTCAATACTCCTTTTACCCCTTGGTCGTCCAAGGGCCCCACTGCCTCCCTGGCTGGTTTCCTGTTTCTAATGTATTTGAAGAAAGTTTTATTGTTGGTCTTTACATTTTTTGCTATATGCTCCTCATATTCCCTTTTTGCCTGCCTGACCACAGACTTGCATTTTATTTGCCATAGCCTGTGTTCTGTTTTATCAGCCTCACTGTGACTAACTTTCCACTGCTTAAAGGAATCCTTTTTACCTTTTACAGCTTCCCTTACTTTGTTTGTTAACCATGCAGGCTTTTTCCTATACCTGTTTGTGCCTTTCCTAACCTGTGGAATATATATATATTTTTAGCTTCTAGGATCATAGTTTTAAATAGTTTCCAAGCTTCCCCAATGGTTTTGACCCTTTCTACTCTTCCTTTCAGTTTCCTCCTTACATGTCCTCTCATATCAGAGAAGTTACCCCTTTTAAAGTTAAAAGTGGTTGTGTCAGTCTTTTTGGCCAATTCCCTATTTATACAAATGTTGAACTCAACAACATTATGATCACTGTTCCCAAGTGGTGCAATCACTTTTACATCTCTCACCAGGTCTTGAGTGTTACTTAGGACCAAATCAAGGATCGCCTCTCCCCTGGTAGGTTCCGTGACCATCTGCTCCATAGCACAGTCATTTAGAGTGTCTAGAAACTCAATCTCTTTTTCCCGACTAGAACACATATTGACCCAATCAATGTGTGGGTAGTTAAAATCACCTATTACGACACAGTTTTTTTTGTCTAGCTGCTATCTTTAATTCATTCATCATTTTATAATCCTCCTCTATCTTTTGATCTGGTGTCTTGTTCAGGTGGGTAGCCATGTTGGTCTGAAGCAACAGAACAAAGTCTGAGTCCAGTGACACCATTAAGATCAACACAGCTTAATTCTGGGTATAGGCTTTCATGTGCATGCACACTTCTTCAGATGTATGGTGTGACTGTAATATATTAGACAAGATTTTTTTTAAAAAAATCCACTGTGTGCCTAATTTCGATGAGATTCCATCCAAATTAGGTGAATTAAGCAAATTTGCATGGATTTATTTTGCCTAATTTAATCTAAGATCAAATCATTTTAGCTGGCTAGTCAACAGGTACTGGGGTTGGATTTATAACAAAGGGGAACAAAATAACCCAAAGCTTCACTAAACAAACAAGAAAATTATTAAATTAACAGTGGAAGAATCATAAGCATTGCCAGCAAGTGTAATCAATCATAAGATAAGACACAGAAATGTACACATAGGCCTTGCAATATACATGTAAATTAATGATAAGAAAGTGCACAATGGAAAGGCAGTAACAATATGAAATAGTGACCACATTGTATAAAGCAACTGCTTCCTAATAATCCCGCTCCAGTGTTTTTCTTTAGATAATAATTATTTCTTGCTCAGTGAAGCTTTTGGTTATTTGTGAACAGAAAACATCAGCCATGCAAAACATATAAGCTGCCTTAGTTCTGTTCTCTGGAAAGTCTCACACAACTTTCTGGAGAGAAACTACCCATGAGTTTTCATGCTGTTTTTTGAAAACACAAAGACTAGATTTTTGCCTTTTTTAAAAGCGAATTTTTTTCTGAGTATCAGATGCCCATGTCTGCACAGAATGCCGTGGACCCAGGCAATATGAGTCAGTCTTCAAGTGGTTAATCTAGAACTTTGTCATGAGGATAGTGTTGGGACATAGTGGACAGGATAGGCTATCTAATGATATATCAGGATTGGAGGATTATGAAATCAGAAACAGGGCAGAACTGTTGATTGAGAGGTGACAGTGAGCATGTTGGTATTATGTATGTTATCAGCCTGTGTTTAGTATGCCTCATTACTGAGATGTTTTTCTTCACTGATTTATCCCTTTGAAGAGGTCATTATAAACAGTGATATTGGCTGTAGCTGGAAGGTTTAGGAGTTCTGTTCCAGTATCTCCTGACAGGACACATGGTCTGTTCGTGCCCACCACTAAGGTCCCAAAAGGCACACCAGGTTGCCAAGTCATGCATTCACTGCCTATCACTTGAGGCCTACCAATCCTCTCTATGGCTAATCACAAAAATATCTGTGTGAAACAATATCTGATTGTTGTTATTATACCTGTAGCTCTCCAGATTTATTTCCCACTCGTATCATTCAGCTTGATAAAAGGGCTATAATGAGGCGGTACAGAAATTAAAACCATCTAGTCAGCAACCGTTAATAGGAGTGCTCAAGGTTATACAATTTGTTATCAGGATCCCTCCCCCCCTCCCTCTGCTCAGTCACGGCATGATGTTTTCTAAATGTTTACTCAGTATTTAGCTGGTCATGGACCTAATGTAACTTCTATTGAATATTAACAGACAAATACAAAATGGGCTCAGGAAGAGGAGAGGATTCCTGTATCCTTCAGGCAAACCTAAACTAAGTCTTTAAAAATACCCGGGCTTATGAGAATGATCAGAATTTGGGATGGGACATAAGAACAGCGCTCTTGAAACAGACCAATGGTCTACGGCAATGATCCCCAACCTGGATTCTCTAAGTGCCATGGTGCCCACCACTGTGTTTCCTGGTGCCCACTTCCCAAAGCAATGATCCAATCCTGACCTTCCTCCACCTCACTGAAGCAGGCAGTCCTTAAGAAGACCCAAGGAGACATTCATCTTTGAGTCTACAGGAAGCAACCATTTGGAAATACTGGCCTCAGTCATAAGATGATACTTTGCTTAGAACCGAACAATACTTGGTCCCAATCCCCACAGCAGCCATTTTGTGGTGGTGCCAAATTAGGGTTGCCAACTGGCCTGGAGAAAAATGTCCAGTCCCTTTGATAGATGTTCATGAGATGTTACTTCCCAGGTGAAATTAGTTGCCTCCATGCCATGTAAACCTTCATCTGCCCATGTCCATACATTAAGCTTCTATTGAAGGGACAGGACTTTTTTCTGCAGGGCAGTTGGCAATCTTATGCCAAATACCCTTTCTTAAATTCCAAAAGTGCTCAACAAGATTGGCAGCACTGATTTATGAAGCAGAAAAGGGCAACTCAAATGATAAAAGGGTTGGAACACTTTCCCTATGAGGAAAGGTTAAGGCGCTTAGGGCGCCTTAGGACGCTTAGAGTGTTGGACTGGATGGGCCTTTGGCCTGATCCAACATTGGCATCTCTTATGTTCTTATGTTCTTATGTTCACTAGCTGTGTTGAGTCTCGTACTTAACAAATACTTTAATGCTGTCTTGATAGTTTAAGCAAGTACTCAGGTACTCTGAATTCTCAGCTTTCATTAAAAAGTAAGTCTCTAGCTCTTCCCTCACTTGAGATATGCTGTTTTCCTTATATCTCCATAAGGAAAGAGTCTAGAGACTTACTTTTTAAAAATGAAAGCTGGGTATTCAGAGAACCTGCTTAAATTGTCACTACAACATTACCACATTATGTTGATATTTTAGTTTTCTTTTTTTTAAAACAACCCTGGAATCACTCATTAAAAAAAAATCACACTGTTAAAAAAAATCTGAAATCATTTGTCCAGGTCAGGGGGAAGACGGAGTGATACAATGATGACAGTCCAATCATTGAAATCTGGGCTGGAGATGGGTGGGACAAAGAAAACCAATAGAAACACTATGCAGTAGGAAAAAGCCGACTCAAAATCAGCTTCCAGAAAAACATTGGGGTAAAAGTGATCCCTGGGGGAAACAAACAAAAAAAAGGGTAAACTAAAGGCACAAAAGTGCATGCGGAAATCAGGGGATCAACCAAAGCAGCACGGGGCCAGAACGAATGACAGAAACCCCATGTGGAAAAGCCCAAAGTCTCGTAGATCAGCACAGTAAGTTCCATGCTTAGAACTTAATTCACAAGCACAAACGGGGCCCCATTTAGCCTTCTCCCTGCACTGTTTTCCTGAACTGGAACATCCCCAGGGAGCCACTGGGGAGATTTACATTTACTGATAGCTACACATAAGTTTCTCCAATGGGGAAAAATGCTTCCTTCGGTTGTTTCCAAGGTCCTGATCCAAATGGAGCCTGCATGTCCCTGAGACTCAAATTCTAACCACAGAACTTCCAGCCCACCGCTTTTGAATGAACAAGTGGGAGACACAAAGGACTTTTTAACATGTCAATTTGCCCATATCTTGTAAGTCCTGGCTGCATGTTGTCATGAACTGAAGAGATATGCATGATACAATCTTATGGACAATGTTCTTGGCTTAAATACTGCTTGACCGCATGGTTAGTGAGTGAAAGCTGTACAAACAGGGGGATACTCTAGTCTAGTCAGTGATGCAAGAAAACAAATGACCTCACCTTCTTTCTTCATTCACCTGCTCGGAAGCATTTCTTTAGCCTGCAATATCGACACTGGTTTCTTTTGTCCTTGTCCACAACACACTGCCTGTTAAACCTGGGGGGCAAAGCAGGGAGAAAGAGAGAGAGAGACTCATGAGTTTTTTAAAAAGAATTAATTCAGAGCTTCAACAGAGGAGTCATTAAACTGGGTGCCCTGGTAGTCCAAACTAGAGGCTGTTCTGCAGTAAAACCCTCATTCCTATCAGCATTCTGAGGAAGGAATAATTAAAACCCTTCAAACAATGACGGCCATTCTAAGACTTTAAACAGAAGCCTGTTCAGATGGGACACAAAAAAATTACTCTTAGGGTGTTTCCAGCTATATTTATCACAATATATACTATTAGATTGTCACCCTGTGGGCACCGCCACTCTTTTATTGGGTTCTGGGCTTCTTTGTTTTGACAGCACTTTAGGAACAAGAGCTATGATGGTACTTGAAGTACCTGAGATAGTCAAAGTTGCATTCTGACCCACTTCCAGGTTTTGCAACAGAAAAGCAACTGCCTCCTTCAAAAGATATTATCCCCCCCCCCCCCTCACAATTTAATGTGCGGTCAGGGATAACGTTGCACTGTGAGCATTCCCACGCCCATGAGTTGTTGTTAAAATGACAAGCTATAGAGTAACTCCAAATGCAGTTAAGCACACACACACACACACACCCGCTTCCAGTCTACCATTTTAAATAGCGGGTTGCATATGCTGCTTCTGGTCTAGTGAATTCTGATGGGATAACCCTAGTAGATTTCTGTCCGTGTGTTCCTTCAGGATTGAATTGATTAGACCAGGAATTATCTTTTTGTTGTAAGGAAGGTAGATAGCAGTTATTCCTGTACAGCTCTTTGCACTGTGGATTTCAGATATGCCAAGAATGGGATGGGACCTCCAAAGGATAAGAATGGCTAACAAGAAAGGAAATAAACACAAAAGAAGGAGCATGAGAGCTAGATTTGTCATGCTACAACTTAGAGAAAGCATCTTTGATGATAAGCACTGAAAAAGAAGACATGCTGTGGCCAGCTTTCTTTCTTTCTTTCTTTCTTTCTTTCTTTCTTTCTTTCTTTCTTTCTTTCTTTCTTTCTTTCTTTCTTTCTTTCTTTCTTTCTTTCTTTCCATTCTGTTCTACTCGTCTTTTCTTGCACTATCAAGCAGAGCTCTAGGGCTGCCAGCTAGCCAGGACAGAAAAAAATATTCTGTCCCTTTAACAGCAGCTTAATCTGCAGGCTATGGAAGGTCGGTAGTTCAGCAGTTCGAGACCTGAGTGTGCCACATGACGGAGTGAGCTCCAGTCTCTACTTCCAGCTCCTGCCAACCTAGCAGTTCGAAAGCAAGAAATTGCAAGTATATAAATAGGTACCACTTCGGTGGGAAGGTAACAGCGTTCCGTGCACCTTGGTGTTTAATAATGCCGGCCACATGACCACGGAAACATCTTCGGACAGCGCTGGCTCCTCTGCTTTGAAACGGAGATGAGCACTGCAACCCTAGAGTCGGATTCGACTGGCTTTTGAGCAAGGGAACCTTTACCTTTACTAATCTGATATTTACCTAGTGATGTTATTTACCTCCATGCCATGAAAACTTCAGCCACCCATTTCTACACATTAAGCCTCTGTTAAAGGGACAGGGTGTTTCTCTTTGGGCAACCCTTGCCCAGTCCCAACCTGGAAGGTATAGCTGATGCAGGCAGTGTCCAGAATCAGCTGCTCCAGAGAAGATCTACTGACTTGAGGACCAAAAGCAGGTTTTGAAAATGTTTCATCCCCCAAATGACAGACTCACAGAAGGCAGTGATAGTGTGGCACAGTCCACAAATTACTTAAGAGCTGTGATATCACTGATACCTAATGAATGATAACAGATGAGATGAGCTAAGCAAGGGGAGATCAACACAATCGCCTTTGGGGATTCTTCATCAGTCTCTGCAGATTGGACTGAATGCTCAGCTGGTACTAATAGAAATGCTGCCAGTGAGTTCAATAAGCAGCAGAGATATTTGCACCAAGCTGGCTGCCTGCAGTTGAGTTGCCACCTCCGCCCCCCCCATACTTTTTACAGCTGCATGACAGACATTCAGACAGTAAAACTTTTCCCAACAGGCAAAGTGTCAGACCAGGATCTTGACAGACCCAGGTTCAAATCCCCACTCTACCATAGAAGCTGGCTGGGTGATAGGGTTGCCAAGTGATTCTTTGCCGGGAGCGGTGGGGCTCCCGGCTGGCATCGTGTGTGTGTGCGCGCGCATCACCCGGAAGTGACGCAGGCACGCTGGGCATGCTGGGGGCGGGGCCACAGCCATACAAGGGAAAACCATAGGGTTTTTCCTTGTATGGCCGTGGCCCCGCCCCCAGCGTGCCAAGCGTGCCTGCGTCACTTCTAGGTGACGCACACGCCGGGGCGGAGTTCCCCCCGGGGCCCGATTCCGCGGCGGCTGAAATCATGCCTCCAAAGCGGGGGTTTACCCACCCCCCGCCCCCACTAGGCAGCCCTACTGGGCGACCTTGCACCAGTAGTGCACTCTCGGCCTACTCTACCTCATAGGATTGTTGTGAGGATAAAATAAAGGAGAGAACAATGTAAGCTGCTTTGGGTCCTCACTGGGGAGAAAGACAGTATAAATGAAGTAAATAAGTAATGAAAGAAGGCAGGGACTCACAGACAGAGTGATTGAAATGTGGGATTCTCTGCCGGAGGATGTGGTGATGGCCACAGGCAAAGACAGCTTTAAAGGGGGATTTGATAGATTAATGAAGGATAGGTCTACCAGTGGTGACTAGCCACGGTGACCAAAGGGAACCTTCACATTCAGAGGCATTAAGCCTCATTAATCCCAGTGCCAGGAGGCAACATAAGGGGATTGCCTCGGCCTCTGTGCCCTGTTGTTGGGTGCCCACTGGGGAGAAAAGCAGAGCCCAAATAAATAAAGTGGGACTTGTGCTGTCCTTCTGGACGAGGGCCCCATTGCAAAACCAGTCCCATTAGGGAGCAAGGTATAGATAGGGGCTCTGGGGCAAGTGATGCTCTGTCTTCTTGGTGCTTGGGGGGGTCAACAGTGGGAGGCCCCACTGCTGGACCTCCTGATGGCACTGGTATTTCTGGCCACTGTGTGACACAGAGTGTTGGACTGGATGGGCCTTTGGCCTGATCCAACATTGGCGTCTCTTATGTTCTTATGTTCATTGCCGCCACCAACAAAATTGCTCCAAAACAGCTCTGTTGACTCTAATGCAGTAAAAGTGTTGCAAACTACAGCTTGGAAAAGATCTTTTTTCTTGAATTTCTCCTGTTGTCTTTTCCCAGAGGGATCCCATGGAATTAAAAAAAATACTGCCAGTGGGTTTTTCTAATGGAATTCCATTGAGGCAGCCCACGTCCACTGGTTGGAAAGAACCGCCGTTTCCCAAGCACGAAGGATCTACCAGGTTGCCCTCCACCTGCTTTACCTGCAAGAGTACATGTGGTTCTTCCTGACGCTTCGCCTGAAAAACCCTTTGCAGCCATCGCAGCTGGAGGCGCCGTAGTGTTTCCCAGTTGCACGGTCCCCACAGATGGCACACAAGACGCTGGCCCCAATGCTGTTGGAGGCGTTGAGGTTTGATGCTTCCGAGGGGGAGGTATCTATTCAGCAAAGGGCGACATGGAGGGCAACAGTGAAAAAGCGGGACACAAACTAAGAACATAAGAGATGCCAATGTTGGATCAGGCCAAAGGCCCATCCAGTCCAACACTCTGTATCACACAGTGGCCAGAAATACCAGTGCCATCAGGAGGTCCACCAGTGGGGCCAGGACATTAGAAGCCCTCAAGCACGAGGCACCATACACAGTCATGCGAGCGACAATAATTGGGCATACTAGCTGACACTTTCTTTAAAAGTGTTTGGTGAGTTTAAACTCTGATGAAACCTTAAAAGTAGCAACTCCTATGAGGGTTCTCTTTTGAGAGGGGATTTCATTAGCATTTTAATGGATTTTGAAGGCTTTTTATAGTTTTATGCTGTAAATTGTGTTGAGGGCCTTAGTCTAGGCTGAAAGGCAGGGGATAGGGATGCCAGCTTCCAGGGGGGACCTGGGGATCCCCTCGAATTACAGCTCATCTTCAGACTACAGAGTCCAGTTCCCCTGGAGAAAATGGATGCTTTGGAGGGTGGACTCTATGGCATTGTACTGCAGAGGTCCCCCCCCCTTCCCCAGGTGCCATCCTCAAATCTCCAGGAGTTTCCCAACCTGGATCTGGCAACTCTAACCCCCATCCCACACCAGTGACCAGGGGGGACCTGGCAACCCTAGATATTAAGTATGAATAATCCATAGCATTTTTATAGAATGTTCAAATACCTTGTCAACATAAAGTGTTGTTATCCCCAGATTGCCGGGGGGGGGGGGGGGGGGGGAGAGGGGAGAGTGCAGTATTTGAGGCAAAGGTCAGGTGTGAGCTGTCGGTCTTCCTACAGCTTGTGCTGCATCCATACAGAAAAGATTCTCCATGTGCCATGAATGCAGAGACATTTGCACTGGCATCAACATGGGGGTTTTGAGCAATGTTCCCTCTAAGCCTCGTAGTCTTGTGAGCAAAAATTCTACTTTGTGAGCTACTGGCATTGAAGTTGTGAGCAAGTGATTTGGCTACTGCATAGATCAGTTTGCTCTGGAGCCCTCCTTCCTGAGCCGAGACAAAAATGTGTGAGCTGGAGGATAAAAAACTGTGAGCTAGCTCACACTAACTCAGCTTAGAGGGAACACTGGTTTTGAGCGCACAAGAGGAGTCCTGCTGGATCAGATCAGTGGTCCATCTAGTCCAGCATCTTTGGGGAGCAGAGATGTTACCTCCTATCCTTTATTAATCACTATTTCCCCTGCATTCTTCCCCACCAGTATCACCAGAGGGCTTTTAAAGGCCTCTTTAAAAATCAACAATTTCTATTGTGCCACAGTGCAATAATGTTAAAATGATCTATTGCCAGGATCTCCTAGTTGCTTTGAATTCCCGGTTTTAATTAATTTTAAAAAGGACATCTCTAGCCCTTTTTTTTTTTTTGGTAGGGATATGAGGGGAACCTTTATATCTCCACAATGAAAAGGGCTAGAGATATATTTGTCTTTTTCAAATGAAAGCTGAGAATTCAGAGGAACTAGTAAAGTCTGTCAAGAGATAGTTCTAATAAAATCCCTCCAGCGGCACAGCAGTGGAATCAGCAGCTGCAAGGGTGGTGGTGGAAGGAAAATGGTACTGGTGTGGGCAGGACTGCTGAAAATGATCACCTCCCATCCCAACAGTTTGTATGCTTTCCAGAAATATCATACCAAACCAGGTCTGAGACGGAATGTCTCAGGAGAGGGAAAGCCTAGAAAGTAGCTGATTGGACAACAGTTTTATGTGGATGCTCCAAAATGAATTGCTGCAGTTTGGAAGCCAAGAGGGAGAAAGATGTCCATGTGGAATTAGCTGTAGTCCCTCAGGAACACAACAGGCATAGCCTTGGAAATCTGTGTCTGGATCGCCTGAGTGCTGGGGTCATTTCCTGCAGAAGTGCACAGGAGCAGAGCTCCGGCAGTAAAGAGCCCAGGGGGCGGGCACATGCAACAAGCCCCACCCCCTGCTCCCAGCAGCCCTCAGTCAGAGCAAGAAGCAGCCAGATAAGTTGCAGAGCTCCCCCTGGCCCCCCAGTCCAAAACAGTCCAGTGGCACCTTTAAGACCAAGTTTTATTCAGGTACAAGCTCTCCCTCCTCTGCGAGGACAGATCTGCATGTTCCCCGCCCCCCAATAGCTAGCAATCCAAAACAGTCCAGTGGAGCCTGAGCGGTGGGTATTTCCTTCTGACACACTTCTGGTGATGTCAGGGGGTGTGGTACATGCAAATAAGTTATGCTAATGAGCTCCTGCACCTCTTTTCCTACTAAATGACCCCTGCCTGAGTGCCTTTTTCAATCTTAAAAGCAATGACTAGGGACTCTGATTTTGATTAAATGAGTGGCATTGGTAGAGAGTGTCTTCAGCTTTTCCTCCAGCACCATATTCCTGATGTAAACAGGACCACCCCCTGAAGCTGCTCTTAGCCCTGCAGTGGAAAATATATCGGTATAGATATAGATGATATGATGTTATAGATGAATATAGATATAGATATCCCTGCATAATGCATGCATCCCCCACAAAAACGTTAATAAAATTTTTGGAGAGGCTTAGGAGGGGAGAATAATGCACCTCTGACAGATGAGAAAACCAACCCTGCAATGCTGAGCCATTACAGCTATTTCCTAGGCCATAGCCCTAGTCCAGACAGAGCACAACCATGTTAGAATCATCTATGCCTTTCTGCTTTTCCTAGAAGCATAGAGACAGCCTGTCTCTCCAGAAAGTAGTGTGTCTGTCTGTTATTGTGAAAGCAAGAGACTAGATTATTGCCTCTGAAGGTCACTTGTTTGTTACAGAAAGGTTGGACCCTCCAGCGGCCCATTCTAGAGGAACATGCAGTACCAAGGTCCTGATAAGACCCCAGAAGTCTCTACCCTGTTCTGTCCTCCCAAAACACCTGCAACATGCACTGAACATGCAGAACGCACAGTCCCACATGTGGTTCCATATAACCAGGGTGATGTAATGCAAGTGTGAGGGACTGTTCATTTGAGCACCCAATAAAAGGGAGCCTCTAGAGCAGAATAGGGTCGACCCAGAGTTGCGGCCAGCCTATCACCAGAACCCCAAGTGTTGTAGTGTGCTAACCTAACAGGTATACCTTGTCTCTCGGTGTACATGTGTGGGGGAGGCAGTCTGCGGCAGATGCTTTCCTGCCTGGGAGGTGGAAGTGGACTTGCTTTTGGGAACCAAACAGTTCTTCCATCTCAGGAGGAGATGGGGGGCTTGTTGGCAGTGCTCTGTCTTTCAGCTGCTGAATAAACTACTTTAACTGTGAACCTGTTTCTGTGCCTCTGGGTAAGAGGAACAGTGGGAACTTCCTACAAGAACACGATCCTGCCCTCTCCGAAAGGGGACAGATTCCCCCATCCCATTCTGACAGAGGCTGATGAGTAATTCAACTTCTTAGGAAATTCCCCCTGGGTAGCAGTGTGAACTGGCGAGTCCTTCCATGGCAAACCAGTTCTGTGAAGGAGGACAGCTCCAGAGAATACTCAGACCCAGAATTTTGCCTAAGAATCTGGTGGAGAATGCGGGCATTCTACCTAATATCTCCTTCCCCTGCATCGCTCTCCCATAAATTTGGAGCACTGTACAGCTATTTTTAAGATGTGGGGAAAGCTGGGAGGTTTTGATCATGGCTCTCCTGTGTCACATCTGTTCTGGTCCTCTGCTTATATTTCACTCAGTCATTGTTATTCTTTCCCTCCTTGTCTATGATTTTAATTGGAACACTTGTGCACATTCTCTTTATTCTCTTTATGATACTTGTGGCGATGCTCTCAAAACTACAGAGAAAAAGTTGTGTCAAACTGGATGGGAGATCACCTTGGGATCAGGTGTTCCCATGTTACCTGGTTACCCGATGTCCCACCCTCCCTATACCTCAAGGTCTATCACATTTTTACTCTGCCTTTCCTCCAAGGAACTAGGGCTGGTTCCAGTTTTTGATGAGACCTGGGCAGAGAATGCTAAGGGCCCCTCTCCCTTCCTAAGCCCACCACCATGACTCCCTACACTTCCTTTCCTAACCCCACCCATGTAACCCCACCTGCCTGTGCATCCTTTCCCTGCCTGTTCATGACCCTTTCCATAACAACTTGCATGCATTATCATCAATGGCACCGAAAGATGTGTGCAGGGGGAGTGCTGCTGCTGTGATCATCACCATCCATCCACTTTTTCCTGACAGTGCTGGGCAGCCTAGGTAGCTAGGAGCACAAGAGGTGGAGTGCTTGCAAGCAAGCGGGTGAGGAAAGGGCATGTGGGCAGGTGGCAGAGGAGGTATATGGGTGGGTGCCAGTGGCAATGGGCCCTGCCAGAACCTCTAGTCCCTGGCAGATTCCCCACCTCAGAGAAGAAGAAGAAGAGGAGGAGGAGGAGGAGGAAGAGGAGGAGATTGGATCTATACCCAACCCTTCACTACCCGAAGGAGTTTCAGAGCTGCTTACAATCCCTTTTTCTTCCCCTCCCCACAACAGACACTCTGTGAGGCAGGTGGGGCTAAGAGAGCTCTTGAGAGAACTGCTCTTGAGAGAACAGCTCTGAAAGAACTTATGAGTGAACCAAGGTCACACCAGCAACTGCATGTGGAGAAGTGGGGAATCAAACCTGGTTCTCCCAGATCAGAGTCCACAATCCTAACCACTACACCAAACTGGGTATGCTGATGCCAGTCCATACTTATATCTTTTTTTCCTTGATTTGTCCTCTCAACTACCCTGGGAGACTGAGGGAGAGGTTACCATGTGGACTTCATAGTACACTAGGGATTTGAACATAACTATCCAGATCCTAGGCCAACACTCTAATCATTATATTGCACTGGCTCATCTGAAGTGCTGGGGTGTTTCCAAAGGAGTAAATGCTAGTTTGCCAACCTCCAGGCAGGGCATGGATATCTCCCAGCATTACAACAGATATCCAGATTACAGAGATCGGTTCCCCTGGAGAATATAGCTGCTTCTGAGAATGGACTATA